ACAACAACAACAACAACATACTCCACCCACGATCCCTCTAAACAGCTTTTTTTTTGCACAGCAACAAAACAAAAAGCGTACCCCGAACGGGCCACACTTTTTACAAAAAAAAACTATTATTATAATAGCCCGTTTCAAACGGGCCAGAAGTCTCACCGTCGGCCCGCCCAAACGGACCGCAAATAATTTACCGAAAGAACGAGAAATCAGGAATTGGGAATAGCCCTTTTTCCGCCTGTTACTTGCCGGAAAAACTGGGTTCAAATCCCAGATGCCGGTCCCAGAATCAATGGCCTTCTTTGCCTTGCAGGCTGCGATTTGGAGGGCCAAATCTCAGCGGGATTGTCTGGCCGGGATTTTTTAGAAAGCAAACATCTTGCCTCACACAAAGACTACCCGTTCGAGATATTATAACATCACATGGCTGGGATTTTGAAGGCGGTTGTGCAGCAGGCGTTGTTGCGCGCGCGCGGTACCTACCAATAAGTTTCACGTTTGCACGTTCGACCAAGTCGTTACCAGCAATGCTACATGCAGTACAGTTACGGCAACAATGTGCGTGCGACCCGCGAGCGAGCATCTCTCCCGAACATGATGTAAAGAACATAAATAACAAAATGGTAAATATATCTGGCGGATTTTTAGGCAGATGTAAGCCTCTATAGCTCAGCTGGGAGAGCGTGGCACTGAAGTTGCCAAGGTCACTGGTTCGATCCCGGTTGGAGGCATTAATTTTGATTCCGGTCGCCCCGATGGTCTAGTTAGTGCCCTTGAAGCCTTTTAGATATCAGGTCTGAGGTTCGAATCCCGGCGTAAGCAAGCTTTTCGTTTCCGCTCCTGGCCAAGTGGACAGCGCTAGTTCGTGTGTACTCAGAGGGAAGAGATTGCTTAATTAACTGTTCTCGCATTAAAAAGCGAAGGCAAAGTACCGCAGGAGGAGGGGAGAGTAGAGAGGGTTTCTCCTTTTGTTGTTGTTTCTCACGCTAGCTCAATAGTTCACAAAAAATGGGGAGCCCGTGGTCTCAAGACCCGACATATACGACGCCGCGGGGAAACAAAAATAGGGCACAAACCACTCGGAAAAANGTTCACAAAAAATGGGGAGCCCGTGGTCTCAAGACCCGACATATACGACGCCGCGGGGAAACAAAAATAGGGCACAAACCACTCGGAAAAAGAAAACAAAATGATAAAAAGGGAAAAACAGGTACCGCACCGACCGTTCGAGAAAAGAGTCCTTGGAAACCGATCAAAAATAAACAAAAACAATAATAAAGGATGACGCTTCGCTCACCCGCCTAAAGAAAAATCAAAGGGTAACAACGAACCAGCACCAGGCACTACGCACCAGGGCATGGGAGTAACGGAGCAAACAGGGCAAAGGGGCGGCAGATGGGCAGACAGCCAAATGTACAAAAAACAAAAGCAAGAGCAAAAGCGAGATCAAGGTACCCATCGCAGCAGAATAGGCACGGAGGACATGAAAAAAAAGAAACACAGCACCGAGACCGAAGGCAATACAAAGGACATACACAAAGGAGTATAGCATACAGCAGGGAGGGAAACAGGGCGCAACAACATCAGCCTGAGACATCGTTCGCCACAGGTGCTGCCTCGGCCGCCCTACTTGCTTCTACAGCAGCGCCCGGTCGCCGTTTCTCCCCCCCCACCGCCGCTTCCCCGACTCTCTTTCTCTTCTTTCCTGAGATGGCCGTACTCTCTGCTTCTGCTTCCCTCGCGCGCTGGAGCTTCGCTTCCGCCTCCTGCCTGTGCCATTTTCTCATGAGCCATGCCGCCCCGTCCTCGACCTTGTTGTACCACACCTCCGGGTCCTTGGCGCTCTCTTTCAATTTCTCTCCTTCCTTTTCGTCTCCCATGTTGAAGGCCACGAGGTCTTCTCCTAGACGAGACACCCAGTCGCTCTCCTGCCCGCCCCGGTATCCCACGCCCCCCGCCATCGCTCCTAACAGCATGCGCTTGGGGAGGCAATTGTCCGCCATGCGCATAGCAAAGCCCGCGAAACACAGCCTCCGCTTGCGCACGGTGGCCTCGATGGCTTCCTCGCAGCCTGCCTGCATGAGGGCCTGGGCATAGGACAGGGGCGGTCTGAGCGTTTCCGCTTGCTCCAGTCGATGCACCGTGTAAGGAACTGGCGGTGGGTCCCATGGAGCTTCGTGCAGTGCTTCGCTGTTAGGCTCCACGAGGCGCATCCATGTAGGAGAATCTCAACCACTTCAGCCTGGAGTAGCCGGATCTTGAGCTGGCGGTCGGCCCGTCGCCTGTCGTACATCGAAGCACTGTTCCGGCGG